TCTATTATGTAACAAATGTAATATGACTCTCTCTCCCCTCTCTCTACACACATTGTATCAAGTTAAGCACCAGAATAAGTATGCCGAATTAATCATCATTAAAGCAAGCAATCATAATCAAAGCCTCCACTAAATATCATGACAATTGCCAGCTTACGATGATAGGCAAAAATACACTGCCCATCGTATGCTATCAACCATTGTGTGGTATCAACTATCAGTGTGGTATTGATCTCAGCTAATTGAATCTAATACTACCCATCATGTGCTATCAACCAGAGAGTATTGTATTGGTTGGTGTCAATCAGCTAAATGAACTTCATGAATCTCACTAGCCCTCAATGAAGGGTAAACATTGCCCTATTGAAAACTTGCCATCCAGATGGTTAAAAAATGTTAAAATATAACATTGCAGATTGCACTTTACCTGAATACAGCCCAAGATTCATCAATGTCCCAACTATAATTGTTTTGGTTGGTTTGCCGGCAAGAGGAAAGACCTATATGGCCAAAAAACTGGGACGCTATCTTAACTGGATAAGCATTCAAACGAAAGGTAAATAGTTCAATTTTATGAAGAATACAAAATTATTTATAGTGTAAGAGGTTTATAAATATATAAATGGGAATTTAAGAGTGGTCAAACACAGTGGCTTTTCTTCCACTGAATTCCAATATTGTGATTTAGAAATTGATTATTGCACAAGGGAGGAAAACCAGAGAACCTGGAGAAAAACCCTCAAAGTAAGCAACTCTACTACTCACACAGAATCCAGAAATCAAACTCAGATCATCATGGATTTCAATACCAGCTTGAGTAAGCAGCAAAGCATAATGAATGGGCGGAGAGCAGCAAGCAAATCTTTTTCATGTTTTCCCTAAATTTTTGGAAACTTGAATCAAAAATAGGTGACAAGTTAATGTATTAATTGGCTAGATTCACTGGCTGCCGACTTCTATTTAAAACCCTGGCTCACATTGGTGAGAAGCAAGCACTCTAAACGCTATGCCACAACTGCTTCTTTGTTGTTATTATTATCAATTTTTTTATTGATATATCCATTATTTTTTGTAGTATTTAATGTTGGTGAATATAGACGGAAAGTTGTTGGGACAGACAAACTGCATGATTTCTTTAGAGTTGATAATGAGCAAGCCCAAGCCATAAGAAGGTATATTATATTAGTTATATTGATAAATATACATCTGGGGCTCAGATTTTTCTGAGTCAGATGTTATTCCAATCTTCTTTCATATGTTAAATATACAGATAACGAATGGTTTTGGAACTAGCTTGGACTGCGTCTGGTGTTTTTTAGTTGAAACAAATATGTCGTAGGTAGATAATTTCATCACCGTAGGTATAAAAGATAGTAGACTCCGACGAAGGACTAATGTCCAAAACGTCAGTCTACTATCTTTCGTACCTACGGTGATAAAATTATCTACCTACGACACATTTGTTAAATATACATATGTCTATTAAATAAAAAGCAGATGATTAACTTGCTGTATCATTCATTGATTGTATAGGCAGTGTGCATTAACCTGTTTGGAAGATGTCAGCAAATGGTTGTCAGAAGGAGGACAAGCTGCAGTGAGTGTATAAAATAATAAAGATATTATTAATCATTAATAACTAAAACCATATCTATTTCATTATGATTAGAAATGAAATGAATTTGTATTTTCACTCATATATAAATTGAAACAAATGTGTCGTAGTGGATAATTTTATCACCGTAAATACAAAAGATAATAGACTGACGTTTTGGACATTAGTCCTTCATCGGGGTCAGTTGATTCCGACGAAGGGCTAACGTCCGAAACGTCAGTCTATTATCTTTCGTATTTACGGTGATAAAATTATCCACTATGACACATTTGTTTCAACTAAAAAACACCGACGCAGTCCAAACTAGTTCTAAAACTAGTCGTTATCTACATATATAAATTGGTCTACCTTAAAAATTCTCTCATAATGTCAATTGTACGTAGCTGCTATCTTGGACAACAGAGGAACATTATTTTCAAGATAGCCCATTTGATTCATTCTGTGTAAATTGTTTCTGAACTAGTTGTTTTTTTGTTGACCAGATCTTTGATGCTACCAACAGCACAAGAGAAAGGAGAGGACTTGTCCTGGAGTTTTGTCTGAGAAGAGGATATAAAGTAAGATTTCATTTATAGATGCATATGTTTGCAGTGTTTGGTGATTTTTGTCTTATATTGATGTGATTTTAATCCTAGGTATTTTTTATGGAGTCTGTTTGTACAAGTTCTGAAATAGTGTCATCCAATGTCAAGGTATGAAGGTGATGATAATGGTGATTATGATTATGATGATGAAGATGAAGGTGATGATGAAGATCAAGGTGATGATGTTGATGGTGATGATGTTGATGGTGATGATGTTGATGGTGATAATAATGGTGGTGGTGGTGTTGATGATGATGATGGTGATGATGTTGATGGTGATGATGTTGATGGTGATGATGGGTGTTGTCATTGTAGTAATGATTATTATTGAGGTCATTGTGATGATAATGATGGTGATGATTATGGTGGTATATGATGATTATACATGATGGTGGTAATGAATGGTGGTGATGGTGGTGGTGGTGGCAGCGGCGATGGTGGGGATAATGGTGACTAATTGTGATTGCTAAATAATATGGATAGATCTACTGTGTAATTCCAATTGATATGATTGTTAGTTAATACTAATAATGTCAATAGCAGTGATGGTGATGATTACTGATAGTAATGATGATGATTACAATATTTGGTGATGATGATGATAATGCAATAGTTTTGACAATTAGATTTGATTAAAATATATTGTTGTAGGAAGTCAAAGTATTTAGTCCTGATTACAAAGAAGTGGACAAAGAAACAGCATATCAGGATTTTGTAGAAAGAATAAGACATTATGAAGAGGCTTATGAGCCATTAACCTTGGACTATGATGGGTAAGAAATGATATGGTCCTATTCTCTCTATACGCTAAACAGATTTGATACCAGAAACCTCTATTCTGTCTATACGCTGAACAGATTTGATACCAGAAACCTCTATTTTCTCTATACGCTGAACAGATTTGATACCAGAAACCTCTATTTTCTCTATACGCTGNTACCAGAAACCTCTATTTTCTCTATACGCTGAACAGATTTGATACCAGAAACCTCTATTTTCTCTATACGCTGAACAGATTTGATACCAGAAACCATGAAAACATTCTCAATAGCTACAAAAAATTAACTGAACCAGGTTAGCTTGGTTAGTAAGAGCATCAGTCTATTGTGCAGGAGGTTGTGGTTCAAGCCTCAGGTCCATTCATTCATTTTTCACTTCTCAGCTTGACTTTGATGTTCAATTTATCTCATTCTTTCTCACTTTGCTTTGTATTCCCATCACTAGGGCGCACTATAGGGTGCACTATAATTATTTTCCTAATGATTATTTATTTATTTCCAGTGACAGTTCATTTATAAAAATCATCAATGCAGGAGAACAATACTTGGTCAACAACATTGATGGTAATAAACACTCACAGGGTTATACCTAAAGTAACCACTCTTTACATTGCATACGGGCAGATCGAGACAACAATCATGACAGAGAAATTGGGCAATACACTTCCGTCAATCAAATAAATTGCTTGGTACCTTTATATTCTCTGATTGGCGGCAGCGTATTGCCCTATTTCCCTGTTTCGATAGTTATCTTGATCAGCACGTAGCAGTGAAAAGAGTGGTAATGATGGATAAAGGTGTTTGGAATAACCTTTATTTAACTGAGTGTATGCATTTCAGGATATCTCCAAAGCAAAGCAGTGTACTTCTTGATGAATTTACACATAAGAAAACGATCTATTTACCTTGTCAGGGTAAGAGTAGCTGGTGTTGTACTAACTTGGTATTTACCATTTATTAATTCATTATAAAGTTAATTGTAAACAGTTACAGGTTGTTTATGTTTTTATTTATTTATTTATTTTTATTCTATCTTAATATGTATATTTGGATAGCAAAGAGCCACTTCTTTGATGGAACTATTTTATAAAATAAACCATTATTATTATTAATATTATTATTAATATATTTTTTTAAAATTTATTTATTTATTTATTGACATGGTTCCATTCAGCATGGTGGAAGTGAAGATAATTTGAAGAAAACAATTGGAGGTGATTCTCCTTTGACTGCAGAAGGTGACAAGGTAATGTAACCTTGGGTCATTAGAATAAGTCCTTTTTATCTAGCAAAGACATAATGTTTTTACCATTTCAGACCACATGTCATTTTCTTGAAAATACACCCCTTGCAGTACATCAGAATGCAGCTCAATTTGGGGTACATAACAATAGGTTTCCAGTTCTCAGGAGATTGAAATTCTTTTGTTTTGTCCTCCAAATTGAGCTGCTTAATTTGATGCCACATGCAAGGGGTCTATAAGATTCTCTTTTTGAGTTTTATCCATATTCTCATATCATGTGGGACCATTTTACAAAGAAATGGTATTCTTGAGAATGACGTGCGCTCTTTGGTGGCAAAACATTACACCCAAAGTGAAAGGGTCTATTGCATCCAGTACTGTCTGAAAAGATGGTTGGAATTAGATCCCTATTCTAACTATGATATCATGATCTAGGTGCATGTACTCAGTAACTTTGTACTGTCTAACTTTTCGTTGCATTGTGCCTCAAAAAATATCATAAAATATCATTGGTTTTGTTCTCTGGTTTCAGTTTGCCAAGGCACTTGCAGACTTTATAGACAAACAAAATGTAGATGATTTGCAGGTAAATCATACATTGGACATGAATTGATGTCTGGACTCTTGATTATGACATTGCTTAATGTTCATACTTCCCTGACACTGAAATGGTTTTTGTGGCATTCAACTGGCTTCCCAAAAGGAATGCCTTCTCACCCACAAACATTGAATTGAGGCTTTTTTCATTTTGGTTTTTAAAATTTTAAACTCTCCAACATTGAAGTGGCCTTCTATTTGGATGAATGGAAATTAAGTCAATCAAATAAAATCACTCCAAATACCTATCTTTCTTTGTGTGTTATACAGGTGTGGACGAGTCAGCTGAGACGTGCAGTTGATACTGGAAAATACATCAGGAAAATCCCAGTAGAGCAATGGAAAGCACTGGATGAGATGGACTATGTAAGTATGGAAGTGGTTTTGATTGATACGCCCTTTCAAACTGTTTTTCAAATTTGCCACATATCACTTGAATGCAGTCTTCAGAGGCATGGATGGAGTGTGCTGCTAATGCATTGCCTCTTACCAATGCAACCTTGGTTAGTCCGGATGTTTTTTTTGTCGCATGTGTGTACAGCTATTCATTGGTTCTCTCCTGTGCTTCAAGGGTTTTGTGTCATGTGTGTACAGCTATTTGTTGGTTCTCTCCTGTGCTTCAAGGGTTTTGTGTCATGTGTGTNGTTTTGTGTCATGTGTGTACAGCTATTTGTTGGTTCTCTCCTGTGCTTCAAGGGTTTTGTGTCATGTGTGTACAGCTATTTGTTGGTTCTCTCCTATACTTCAAGGGTTTTGTGTCATGTGTGTACAGCTATTTGTTGGTTCTCTCCTGTGCCTCAAGGTGCCTCTCTGGGTTCTCCAGTTTTCCTCCCTCGACAAAAATCAACTTCAGAGTTCCAATTTGATCTGGAATAGGGGGCCAGTCTGGAAATCAGCCGAAGTGTATTATCTGTAGTCAATAGTTATACCCTTGTAAAATGTGGCATTTAAGAAATGTGTTGTTTCAGAAAATATCCATACCCCCACCATGAAGGATATTTGTAAAAGGACCCCCCTACCCCCAGAAACTTTTCCAATTTTCTTCCATGCAAACTCTGTAATTTCGTTCTTTCTCTGACTCCCCTCCCTCCAGAATTTCCTCTTTCCTCCATGGGTAGGGTATGGATATTTTCTGGGACTACACAATGTCTTGAAGAAACGATGACAGAGTTGGGTTTGTCTCTTTCTATTCACACAAAATCAGATCTCAATTTCCAAACATGTTTCTTGACAGGGTTTATATGATGGTATGAATGAAGAAGAGTTATCATCCATAGACCCTGATGAACAGGCAGCGATGCATGCTAACAAGTTTCTCTACAGATATCCAATGGGAGAGGTACGTGTTGCTTATATGCCAGAAATAATAATATTGAATGTGGGATGTTTTCATCTTAATCCCCTCATTTTGCACAAGGTGTCTTTCCCTTGGGAATTGCCCTTATTATTTTATATTTCAACAATGATTTTTTTYCCTACACTTCCAGAATCCCTTTCAGTGGTGGAAGTGTTAATTGCTGTTTACTCATGAATCCTTTCTTAACCAACATTCATTATTATTATATGTAATGTATATCAATGCCAAAAAGATTAATAATACCTGAGAGAATGACCTGGTCTTAAATAGGAATTATAAAATATCAATTTTTTAAGTCTTACAGTGATATGTGTGCAAGACTAGAGCCTGTCATCATGGTAAGCAATGATTCACTAGCTGTCAATAATACAGTGTAACAGTCATTCTTTTGAAGATGGGTTTCCTTAATGATATGACACGTACAGTAACGAGATCATGTATAAGGGCTGCTCCTACAACATGACATTTTTTAACCAGATAAAGGAGTAAGATCTCTGAAGTAACAAACTCTTTTTTAGAAGTCATGCAATGAAGGCACCTACAGGTAACCCTTCTCAGAAAGAAAGATGGTTCATCAGAACTTTAACTCAGGCTCCCTAGCCAGGTTCACTGTGTCACTTCCATGACTTCTAGACTCTTCTAGATAAAATAATGTAAGAAATCTTGTTGTCTCTGATGTTGACTGGACCGGAGGAGGACATCAACAGCAAAGAATGTGTAGTTCCAGAAAATATCCATACCCCACCCTTAGAGGAAATTGAGTGTGGTAGGGTTTGGAAATTTTCTGGAACCACACAATGTGATTTACTTCATTCATTTACTTTAACTATCGATAAACCCATTAATATTGCCGATAAAACAATGATCTCTATCCTTGTTTGTTCTTCATCTGGTAGGAATTAGAAAGATCAAATAATATCTTAATCATATCACATGAGGTGAGTAATTCCAGTCTAATCTCAAAATTTGTAGTCAACTCCAAACCACTTAGCAATAATTAACCATTACAAGGTCAAGTTGGCATTGCATTGCATGGTAGGACTGTGTTAGGGGACAAAATGGATGCGATTTTGGAAATATATCCTCTAAACTGCAACTTTGTTTTTCAACCTGGCAATGGCTAATAAGATTATCTTTTGTAATTCAGTAAATGTGACTGTTTTAAATGACTACAGCATCATTTAGGTAGGTTCATCCTTGTTTATTTGAGCATTCTAATCATATGACATTCTTTTTTTTTTCCAGGCAGTAATCCAGATACTCATGGGATACTTTACTGACCACACCTCAGGCAAGCTTGATCCTGCTTACATCTTTTATCAACTCTCCTACTTTGATAAACAATTAAAGTAACAACAGTTTGGTAGTCGGCACATTTACCAACTGTCACAGTTACCCTGCAAGCCGGCTCCCTTTTTGTTCTCCATGGTAGAAAAGAAAAGAGGCTGGACTACTAGCAGGGTAGATGACGGTATTACTGGCACGGCAAGCATCCCTTCTCATGACAAAGACAAAAGACACCAATTACAAATCTTTTATCAAAGTCAACCGGAAGGGCAGCTATGATCTCACATTCACCACAAGAATTCCAGTCTTATCATTCAACCACTAAAACTTAAAATACAACTTTAAAATACTTTCTTTTTTCTTGTCAATTTTTATGATTATTTTTTCATTTCTCATTTTTCCCTTTAGAAGAATTCCCACATCTGCACATCCCGCATAACACAATATTCAAGCTTACGCCAATAGCTTATGGTAAGTAGATTGGTGTTCGCATTGCATCTCGGGATTATTTTGAGGGTTTATTGAGTAAATCTCTCATAATGCATTGTGCATTACCACGAACAATAGACGCCTTGCATGTGACGTCAAAGCAGCTCAATTTGGAGGACAAAACAAAAGAATTTCAATATACAAAGAATTGGAAACTTATTGTTATGTCCTTCAAATTGAGCTGCATTCCGACATGCTGCAGGGGATATATTTATGTGCATGACAACAAATTACGCCAGGGTATTGCATTGACGTCATCAATTGGATCAAAAGCACCGCGCATGACCACTGTTCATCCAATCGTAATTCTCAAACACCGTCACGGTCACGGTGAAATCACAACTAAACACGTCGGGTTTTTTTCACCGCCATACCAAGTCTTAGAGCCTCCCAAAATTCGTAGTATTTTGAATCATGCTTAATCGCTTCAGACTAAGCCAGGTTTTTTGTTTCTACACCAGGATGCAGAGTGGAGACATTCACGTTATCACAAACAGCAAACAGCTGAACTTAGATTACAATCGATTGCGATGATAACGGATATGATATCCAGGAAGGCAGTAATGGTGAGGCATGATATTAATGATGATGATGATATAGTAGTGTCCTTTCGCCGGTCCTTTCCCCGGTGGATCTTGGACAATGAAAAACTAACCAATGACTGCTGGCAACGATACTGTACTAGATGAGGATGGTGGCGGTATCTTATTATAAAGACATTTTTGTTTCACAAGGTGGCCAGCTGGAATGTACCTATCTACCTTGGGCGTAATGCTTCCCCATGTTAGATTACGTGCAATTTTCTTGAGAATAAGACCCTTTGTTCTAGTCGTATCCATATTCATGTGTTTTCTCATTCACAACTGTTAAACAAAGAAATGACACTCTAGAGAATGACACCTGGTCTAAAATGGGAAAATATTACGCCCAAGATAAAGAGGTTTATTGAAGCTGAGGGAAACGTATGAAGCAACTATTTTCTACAAACGACATTCTCATTTTTCTATGTAACACTGTGAAACTACTGTACTTTTTCAAACTGCATTCTCTTATCTGACATAGAAATGCCGGGTTGTACAAAGGGTGGATAGCGCTATCCGATGGATGAATCGTTATCCAGTGGATAAATCGATGCTGGTATCCAATTATAATTATCCACTGGATAAGATTTATCCGTCGGATAGCGCTTTCGCATTTATAGGGTAAAGATTTTATAAGAGCTTTTAATCTTTTTAGAGCTGCTGTAAAAACGGTTAACTGGTTATGGGTATTGTACGGTCACGAAAAAAGATGAAAACCATGAATGTCAATATAAAAAAATGTAAAAACACATGAGAATATAATGTAATTGTGTATAAAAATATTTATAATATGATTCAAAATATGTAAAAATATTGAAATAATTGTTATCGCTTTGTTAAACGAAATTTTATTAAAGTTGGCCCATTATTTTCAAGTCCGTTTTCATCTAGGAACTATAGCGTAACTCGAGGAAGTGATTTTCACGAAAAGCTAAGCGCGCAAAGTATTTTGGGTCAAAACGTTCAGCGATTAATATTCGAAAAAATTCACTCGATCATTTGAAACACAGAAAAATAAAAGACATTCAGAATGATTTTTTATTCAATTTTATTGAATTCCATTTCAATTTTCGATGTTCTTTTATGTTCTAACATGGATCTTGAAATACTCTGGAAATTACCCTTTAAAAAACAAGAAAATAAAAGATTAGTGTTGATAACGAAAAAATTAATTGCCGGAATATTAACATGATCTAATGCAACGTTACACTTCGCTATCGCTGTAGAAAAAAGAAAAAACCATGAGTTTGGGCAGACCAGTAGATCCATTCCACTTAAATAACCGGGACAGAACTGGCTTCATTTCCTCTATGATCAGTTACAATCTCTTTGCGTTTACATTTAGATCTAAGAATCAATAATTGTATGGTGGGGTAGGGTTAGACTATACACTCACATGGTGTCTTGTAGCAGCACAGATCGCCTTTGCACTCGCCCATTCCCTCCATGGATTTCTCTTTACTACTGCACTTGGCCTTGCATGTTCCATACACCCCGTGATAGATGTAACATGACTTCCCCTCTGAATTCATTCCTATGTGGAAGCAACAAGATAAAGTTAGTCCAGCTCTCACCAAAGAATAGCTCTTTTATAAGCGGGAAACTTGCAATGCTCGTGAAGGCTCCTTTACATGAAGGTAAAGTGTCCCTGGTGTAAGGGATGTGTTTTTCATGGATGGTCAAAAATAAGTGAGTTTTAGCTTGGAAGAAGGGTGACTTGTAGCAGGAACACAGCTCTCCAACATGCCTTAACATTGAAATAGCTGCACCAGTGTAATATACGACACGCACATGGTACACGTTTTAGGGTTACCATGATCGTTTTTGTAATGTTAATAAATTGACGATTGTTTGGGTTTATGTTCTTCTATGCGCTCATGTAAATGGCGCTTAGTGTAACCGATATAACCTGCATCGCACAGGTCACATTTAAATTGGTAGACGACACGTTGGTTGTTAACAATTGGTGGTTTTTTCTCTATCTCTTTGATGACCACGCCAATGCTATTGCTAACAAAAACAGGTTGAATAGATAGTTTCGTTGATCTTTGAACGGCAGAATAATTCTAGCTATGTTGCAGTCGTCGGTTGTTGGTGAATCGGTTTGTTCTATCGTTACTAAAACACCATGGAATGGGGATTCTTACAGATCACACTTAAATGGCTTGCCATTGTTTTCGCTTCCGGCATTTAATCAAAACACTTATGATGCGAAAAACTCAATAAAATAAAATAAAATAATAAAAAAAAAGAGCAACGCCTTCCATAAAAGGTTTGTTGTTAGATCTCGGTTGAATATCAATACGAAATGCATATTTTCGAAGTGACGTTTATTCTGTTTATTATTTCGTTATATCTAGTTAAATCAATGGATACGTTTCTGCGCCATACGAGAGTCAACATTTCTGTTCGTGAGAGCGCGCGCGGTCCCAGAAAACAAGGCCGAGTGGTAAGGAGGGCGGCGTTGTACTAACCTTCATCTTTATCCCTTGGCATTCCAGTTGCGACAGCCAAAATAACGAGACCAACGAGGATAAACAAAGTTTTCATGTTGACAAAGTGAGTGAAAATAGATGCCGTTTTCTAAAAAAAATACAACATATTTCAGTTAACTGTTTCTCACGCGCTTAAAATGATGTGCAATTAAGGCAGTATCATTTTCAGATTTTCATTTTAATTTAAAAAAATTGGGAAAATTTTTTAACGGTTTAATTATTCAGCGCAAAATATATCACGGTGAAAGGTGAAAAGAGAATGATATTGAAAAATATTACTGGTAAAGCATTACAGTGCCATGCTCAAAGGCGTGAAAAGAAAGGTCGATATTCATAATCTTACCTCTAAAAAAACAACTTTTGGATGTAAACGGATAGAGCTTCGCCAAATAGTCCGAGTCGAAATGATTTGGTTCACGACGAAGTAAAGTTAAAGAATGACTTGATATCGTAGTCGACTGTGGTTGGTGGCCAAGTGTGTCGAAAATGAGTATGATTGGTTAAGAAAAAAACACGTGATAAGGTTCATTTGAGACGGGTACGAATGTGGTCAGTAACGTATCCGAGCAGCCCATTGTCCGACGGGTCGGTGATTAAGAATGGGGAAGGATAGAGATCCATTCATGGTTCAAGTTACGGAAATATGGAAATTGATCTGGAGATACAAGTGCTAAAGCGAGACTGAATGAAAAGACAGAGTGAGAAGGGGAAGAAAATTAGGCTCTTCTCAAAACTTTTTTTTGTCCTCTAACTCGATACATGTTCCAATTTAGAGTAGCACTAATGTCCTCCTCCACCCTACCAGTTAGTTACCAGGTTCGATATTCTTCATTTTGCCGGTTTAGGCAACTAACAATTGGTTAATAGCAGGTTACTTGTCATGTTCTATGGCATATCATTAATTTATTTCCCGTGGGATTTAGTGGCCAATTTGATGGAGAAGTGTTTCTACTCAAGTATCCAATTCTTAACACCTTTAAAACAATTTCATTGTGTCATCTCTCAATATATAATCCCATATAAGCAACTATCGTATTATTTTCAAATTCTATTTCCTGTCCAGATTCCTTTGAGGGAAAACTATGACTTATGGAATCAGTCTAGTATAGTTTGGGATGATATTCTTAATCCTGCAATAGGACCATGTCTTTCCAATTTGGAAATAATTGAATTCAAAAATTTCCTCTGGCTGCCAAATTGGCTTATCGGCTTCTTCAAATTTTGTCAGTCGGAATTTTTTTCATCATTTCCAAATTGGACAGCATGTAGTCCTATTGCCTATACTAACATCAATATATTAGCGAAATAATGCGATATACGTTTGAAAGTGTCCATGATTTTATTTTCCAGGTACAATGATTGAAAGAATGAACAGAACCTTTAAAATAATTAAAATATTTCGGTTCAGCTTCAGTGCGAAGAAAAAGTATTACAAAAGTTGTTTTGTAGAAGTCAAAAATACGATATTTATTGTTTCATGCCGGAAAAGATGAAATGGAGAATAGAGGGTTGGTTTGAGCAAAATATACTCGAAACTAAATGACTTGGAAGTTTTCTCATTCTTTCCAAACTCAGTAATACGGTAAACACGTACCCGCACATAAGAACCTAAAATTTAAGAACCTGTTAGACTTTAATTATCAAAATATGACATATTTTTATAAGAACCTATTTAGCCTAAGATTTGAAACAGGTTCTTAATTTCTAAAAATGAACCTTAAAGATCTCCAGGAAAATATGAAACACATATTAAATCAACAACATTAAACCTGATACACTGAGAATTGAAATAATTACTTTTAAGGGGTCATACAAGGCCTGTTTTTACATTGAATTTATCAACATTCCATAACTCGACCAGTCATTGGTATTGTATCTTCCATATAAAATAAGAACCTATTTTAGAACCTAATTAGCCTAAAATTTCACTAGGCACCCGTTATATAAGAACCTGTTTAGGCTAATTTGGAAAAACCTAGGTTCTTATGTGCGGGTGTTTACTGTATTGGTTCATTCCTTGCTTTTACCAGAACAAGGCACTTGTGATACTTTCACTTTTAGGAGTGATAACAAGAGTCAAGCTGACAAACTGTTGGCCAAAGAAAGGAGAAATATATGTTTATCAAATATCTAACAAAAAATATTAAGCGCATTAATTTACGTTGTTTTGGCAATAGAGTTTTTTAACTGTCTGAAGGAAGCGCGCATCACCTCCTTTACGAATTGACCAAAAGCGGGCAAATTAGCCTTATTGGACAATATTCGAACTTTTGCTAGAGTGTTTGGCTGGCATGGACTTGGCTGCTGGTTCAATATTTGAAATAACTGACTAAAAATTCAATCCCGCCTGGCAAAGAATTATTTCATTATCTCTGTGTTCTTTAACAAAACACAAAGGAAAGACTGTATAAACAGGCTTCAGGGATATAAAAGACACTTGTGAAGCTGTGTTTGTGGCGATGAATAAGATTTGTGAGATAGATAAATATAAGCTTCGGTAGGAGAAAATTCAGCAAAAAAAATGTTGAAAAACGTTTTATTGTTTTTCTTTCCCTGAAAATTTTTCGTTCTTCGCCTTATTTGGTTTCAGTAAGTAAGGTTTCTAGGTATAACCTCCGGAATCATAAGGGCACTCTGCTAAATCCAGCTAGTGGGAAATGTAAAAAAAAATTTAGGACAGGGCTTTTCAATCTGCGGCCCCTAAACTGTGGAACGCTCTTTCTGTTGAAATCAGGAATGAATTGTGTATCGGGAAATTCAAATCAGCTGTTAAGGCATACGCTTTTTTTTAGAATTTTATACATCTATATTGCTATATACTATATATTTTATACATTTATATTATTATATACTATACTATATTATGTCATATTTCTATTTCTTTCTGCGAATATGAACATATCCACATGAAATATTATTTATAAGTATTATTTATTTTTTCTATTTTGAAAAGTGGAGACCTTACGAGACTAATTTTAATTGGCTCCCACTTCCAACTAATCAAGAGCAAGAAAACGAATATCCCCCTATCACAGCGCTTGAATGTGGAAGCGATTCTATTTTGAGTAATGCAAGCTTTGTTGACTTTCATTTTGTACTTCTCGGGGTTTTGTGTTTAATTTCTGACATTCTGTCAAATTTGGCGCCACCAGGCCACCAATTTCTAGACTCCAAAGATCGCTTTGCAAGATACGAATACATTTTTCTTATACGTTTTAAAGTTCTCTATGGTAACTAAGAAAATTAGTAAGAAACATGAGATAAATAATTAAGGGAGGGGTNGGGGGGGAGGGGGAAGGGTCTGATCGACCAATGGCCGAGGAGAACCGGTAAATGGCTATATGTGAGCCCGTAATGTTATGAGCTGCGGTTATGGCCGTTAGTAATGGCGGATGGAAGGAACTTTAGATCTTTTTATTATGACACTCTTGGTCTAAAAAATGTAGAACAGAAAAAGGCCCTGGAAATATTATTAAACTCTGAGGAAATTGGTAGGTAGACCAGTAATGCTTGTCTGTATGGCATTTTTGGTAGAAGTTTTTGCGTAATTCTTACTTAATTGCTCACTTCCTTGTTGTATTTCATAGCTAGGTTTTCGACTTTAAAGCTAGCTTTTTTTAACATATTAATATTTAATAATTATGAAACAGATTATGTTTATTAGATAATTTAATTTCTTTTGAGTTATGTGTGTCACCCTTGGTGTTTTTGAGGCTCAAGTCTATATTATTGGTATTTACTAGGTGTCTTCGTTTAGTAAGAGTATTGCTTGCCTTCATATAAGCCTATTGTATCAAGGGTGTCTAGAGGGGGTCATAAGATGACCATGTTTCCCCTTGAAGAAATGGAGTGATAAATAATAAGCCTGTTCTTAAACACTTTTGCCTAACTTCTTTTTTTGAAGCAAACGCAAACTTGCTGTGTGTTGCCAACCACACAAAATAAAGTGAAAGTGAGCAGAAAGGAAGGGAAAAAAATTAAATCTTTGAAAGAAATCATTCTCTTAATAACAACCATATGAAATGAATGTTTTTTATTTTCAGATGTCAGTCGTGTTGCAACATTCAGTAGCAAATTTAGTCTTCCTGCAGTCTACAGGTCACATGTCTGGAAGATACTTTTAGGTAAAGTAGAGAGGAAAAAAATTCCCTCTTTTTTCCCAAAACATTTTATAGAACATAGAAGCTAAGAATGAAATGGTACAGGAAGTATGTTAATTAAATATGACTCTAGTGGTACAACTCTTGGAATTGAATATTGTTGCATTGATAGGAAGCATCCAGGCTTTTAACACATGTTTCATATTGACTGCCGTCACAAATGAATACATCAGAGGATAATTAGGTCACTTTCCAGAATAGTACTTTTTCTCAATCTCAGTAATAATTGCTTTGTTTTATGACCAAAGACTCGTCAGCACAGGCTTAGCCAGGCTTCTTTAAAGGAAATCATTTGCAGCCAGAAAAATGTGCAGCTTGAACAATACCAACGTTTTGAAATCCCACATACGTTTAATGGTATCTATGAATAGCTGACTTATAAACAAGGCTAAGCCTGTGCAAATGAGTCTGTAGTCCTCAAAAACAGCAGTATGCATTGAATGCAAAATTGGTGTATACTTGGCAATTGAGTTTATATGCTTGGTTATGTGCATGTAGGTATCACTCCTCCATTCCAACAAGCACACAGTTATGTTAGCCAACAGAGAATAGAACAGTATCAAGACCTTTACCATGCCTTGGTCACCATCAAACAGATTGACACAGATGATCAAGAAAATCATGCCGAACTTGTTACCAAACTGTTCATGATGCAAGAAGGTTTATTTAGACTTATTAATATTCCTAAGGTAATTGCTATAATTGTGTTTTCCTAATGAATTATTAATGAGTTTGATAAATATATATACATTTATTGTGAAGTGTTAACAAATTTTCATTTTATTTTTTCTTAGAGTCAACAAAGAAAACTAGACATTCTGCACACTGTTGTCAATGTGTTTGTTGATATGTTTGAAGACCCAGTTGATTTGTATTGGTTATCAGTAAAGTTTGTGGAAATACAAGAAAATTTTATAAGTCACTGGGAGAAACTAGTGAGTATCTTAGACTTACTGCTGTTACACTCTTACTAGTGAAACAACATCAAAGGGGCCATAGAATATATACAGTACATGGATATTAATAGGCATTCTGTTAAGAAAGAGTCAAATTTATATGACTGTTAAATATCTAAAGCACAACTGTTTCATATGGTGACCTGACTAAGTGACTAATGCGTTCTATAAAAAGGTGCATTCTGGTCTAGCTTGGGTATGCACAAGCAACACCATATTAGGCATAATTAATAAAATGCTCCAAAGCTAGACTAGAATTTTCCGTGTTTCATATCTATACATTTATATTAATGAGACATTATTAAACAAACTTCTGTGATATCATTTTTCAGGTAAAAATGATTCAAAATTGTGTACAAGCAGAAGATAATACATTATGGGAGCACATTAACTCTTTCAATGGATTTGAACATTTACCCTATCAAAGGTATAATTATGTATATGACTTCTTAAATTTATATAAAAGCCTGTAGCTATTACATACCCAGCTTCTATCTTTAGTTAT